AGAAAAAAAAGTAAAGACATTTCGAAAATCATTTTTTTTCTTTTAAATTAATTTTTAAAATTATTTTTTTTTTGGAGATTTCTTTTATTTACAGGATACAAGAGAAAAATTTTCAATTTTTGAGGGTAATGTCAACTAGATACGATTTGTAATCTTTTTACGTATCGCAGAAAGATATCGAGCCAGTGAGAACTGAAAAAAGTGGCCACAGACACAAAAAAAAAATTACATCATCTTTAAATCTACTTTTTCAGCTTCACATTGAAACTAAAAATTTCAGGTTGCCCATTCATTAGACAATTTTTTGATTACCCTCATCTTCAAGTGTAAAATTGTTTATATATTTTTTAATTTTCTATAAAAATATTATAAGTTTAATGAAACTTTTAATTGTGAAGCACTTTAATTTGAATGTTGCACACTTGGAACCTTAAATACAACAGTCAAGCACATTAACATAATTAATGCACTAACGTAAGTTAATCTATGTAGATGCAAAATAACAATTGACACTATACGTTCACATCTGGAATTTATTTCAAATGAAAATTTACAGTTTATTATTTTGGACAATTTTCTTATAGAGAATTTATATACATTTTTGTATGAACTCTTCTTATGAGTATAAGATTGGTTTAAATTTAATGCACGGCTTTCTTCATAACCAATCGAAAATAATATGTACTACTAAGCATCATCAGAAAAAAAAATTTTAAGTTTAAGTTATAGTTATAGTTATTCAACAGTTACATAAATACGTTTTTAAAGATTGACTGGTTTTGATATGTTTATCCTCTTATGCCATACAATAGCATAAAATAACACTTGAGATAACAGCCCTACACGTACTATGTGTGCAATGCACTTGTACAAAATTACTCATGTTATAAATTATACTTAAAATTTAACTAGTTTCAATGTGAAATTCATGCATATTTATTTTTATTTTCTCTTGATATCTATCGTTAGTAACGATAATTGGTCTTCGACTGACTCTCATCAAGTTAGCTTTATATTCCAAACGAGAAGATGAAAATGAGTGGATGGTAGTGAATTTAAATAATAATTCATCTTTGTACATATCCATTGTTAAGTGGATTATTTATTCCGTTTGTTCTAGAACTTTATCAACCCTTAATAAATAAAATGACGCAAAGTATATTATCATTTTTCATAAAAACTAAAAAAAGATATTTTTTCATAATCGCTAATTGAGTTATTCATTTTTTCTAAATTATTTTGTTAAAGATAGGTTACATAGGTAAACAAAAAAAAACTGACGATCAATTTGGGAGTTTTAACATTAACTTAAAATAGCTTTTATCTAATCATTTAATGGTAATAAAATACATTTAGGTCTAATTAATAAATTATTCAGCAAATTTATAGAAAAATGTTGATTTTAAATATTTCATATTTTCTTAAACTGTCATTTACACCTTTTTACGTTATATAATGTATTGTTTTTATAATCATTTTGATGATTATAAAATATGGTATAAGCGATAACTTTGCACTTAACATAACATGCAGAATTGGGAAAATGTAGATTCTTTTATGTAGATAAAAATAATATTATTATTTATCTTAGCTATATAACTATAAATGTTTATCTAAACATCATCTAATATAGGTTATTAGTTATTTTTTCGTGTTTACGTGACGGTTAGGTTTTTAGAAAATCAAAATTTAAAGTTTTGTTTAAAAACTGGTCTTAACCGGTTAAACTTACTTTAAAGTTTTTTTTCGACATTTTATAATTAATATCAGTGGCGGATTTCAGAGAGAGTTTGGACAACCGTTATATTTATATTATATATATATAGGGTTAAATCCATATGTTAATTTCAATGTTTCAATCATAAATTATTTTATGTCGAAACTTCTCCATTAGTTAATAGTAGATATTTAACAAATTTAACTACAGATTACCCATTTTAAACTATACATAATAGAAAGTTCATCTGTGCGGAGAAACTTAAAAAGAGTTAATTTTTATTATGCGTTCATGTAATTGAGTTAGAAAATAATACATTTTAACTGTAAATAGTTATTAAAAATTTTTCGTTCCATCATTTTGAATTAAATAAGTATGAATGACTGACTGAGAACGGCGGGCTATTTTCATATTTACACTAAACTAAAATAGTTAATTTGCAGATTGCATATCATTAACGTATATCTTGAAAATTCAAATTGACAATGAACACGCGTTTGTGCTTCATGATTGGCTCAACAGTTCACAGCTGCTTCGCAATCACTATTTTTGTCGATTAGCTAAAATACCCACTTGGCTATTTTTATCGTTGCGGCACGTCAGTCCGGACATAGACAATAAGTGCGTATTATAACTTTCTGAAAATACTCAATTAAAAACGATATGTCACCACTACAACAATAATATCATAATACATGTGACGTCGACCTCATTTATAAATTACGACCTCTTGGAACTAAATAAAGAAATTTTATTTTAAATTAAAAATTTATCATTTAAAAGTATTAAATTTTCTTTCCGTCTATTAACCTTAAGAACATCGTAAACCCCTATTTTTTATTAATTTAAATGGGTTCCGGTCCTGTTTTTAAATAGTTTGAATTTAAGGTTTCGGTCAAGGTTGGGTTTGCACTACTGTAAAGGGTTTTGGTGTTCCCAACCGGCTTTTTTCGATACGGTGTCAGACACTGACTACAAGTAATATGATGTGATAAATAATTGTATTAAAAATAATACAATATAGAAAACGGGTGCTTTTTTGTAAATCATAGTAGCGCGCTCTTCACGGTTGTCTGTCCACTCATCACACCGTCCTATGACGGTCGCAGAACGGTATCAACCGCTTACCATTGCCGGGCAACCTTTTACTGTAAAATATACTGTTGTGAGAAATAGGTTATAAGATAGAAAAAAGTTTTGTTTTTGCTATGAAATTGTAAAATTTTATTTTCATAAAAAAAAAAAATTGTATTGTTAATTGTAGAAGATTTTGATAATCATTAGTTATGTTGGAGTATTTCATTTAAACCTGCAGGTAATAGTAATATTTTATCTCGTTTCTATGTACCACATGGTTGTTTTAAGTTAATTGTTTAAGTCACATGAATGACTTTTGATTATTGATTTTAATCATTCTTTGTATTTAAAAAATAAACGCATGTATTGATTATTATTTCATTATACAAGGTTATTTGTAATCTCAGTTACATGGATGACATTTTTAATTATTATTGGCATTTTATATTATTGTTATGGTATGAATAATACAATTTTATGTGAGCCAATGACTACAGTATTCTTTTATTATACATCCAACTTCAATAAAATTTTTCCTTATAATCACAGGGTAAGCGCGATATTGTTACTCGCCCTGGTATTAAAATTATTAAATAGAGAAGAATAGTCAAAATCAAATAAAATTTCTACTACACCCAAAGAAAAACCTCAATCAAAATTGAAAGAGAAATTTTATCAAGGGTTTATGATAATGTTTTATTAATACGAACAAAATAACTATTCTTATAAATAATTATTGTTCAAGACAAGAAAAAAAAATATCATATTGATAAATATATCATTGATTCAATAGTAATGATATATTTATCAAATTGAACAATGAATTTATTATATAGATCGAGGTTTTTCTCTGGGTGTAGTCAATAACAAGTTTTGTAACATTACTTTTTAGGACATTAACATTTATAGATTTAGAAAAGGTGACAAGTGGGATAATGTTTAGCGTCGTACTATTTTAACCATAATTCAGAGATTATGTTCCCTACAACCCTTGTCGCCTATAAATAAAAATTGTATTAATTCAATAAGTAATGTTACAAAACTAGTTATCGATCAGTTAAAACTTATTTTAATCCATTCCGCATTTAACGTTAAAAATATAATTATAGATTCTCATTTAACTTTTGAAAGTTATCCCTAATTCTACCTTCAGAAATAATGTCTTACAATAAACTTAATATATACTTTGGTTTATAAAAATAAATCAAATTTAACTCTGCACATTTTCATGAAAAAATGAGGTTAGTATTCTTAATAAAAACTGTAGACAAAAAATGGCAACACTTTCTATATAACTTTAATAAACAGTATGTACCATTAGCTAATTTTTTTATCGTTTTATATTAATAGTAGAGTTGAAAATGCTTTAGTAACATTTTATTTGGATGGAAATTTTTCTTTGCATTGTCGATAAAAAATAGAAACTCATTTAGCATGATGGGGGGGGGGAGAAAAAACGATAAGAAAATTATTAATAAATAAAAAACAGGAATTTATCTGTATTTTATCAGGATAAGAATCAAATTATTTTATTTCTCATTTAGATCATTTTTTTCCCAATTATGTTTATCTCGTCTAAATGACTTTTTATTTGAAAATCTATATCTAATCTCGATAAATTGTTGGTTTTGTATTCCCAACACTGTTGTGTATTTTATAACTTGTTCTACAAGTCCGTTAACAACGGCTCTTTAACAAAATTAATTAATTAATTTTATTTGTGAACCAAAATGTTCTGGTGTAATGGTAATATTTTACCGAAGTCTTAAGATATACCCAAAGGGATTTTTCCTCTTTTTTATCGTACTATTTTTCACATTTCATCGAAGGGTCTATAACAGCAGTTATTTATTGGAATTACCACAAAAGATGATAGTATTAAAATAATGATGACGATTTTCTACTTTAATAGCTGTTTGAGATAACAAAAGAAATAATTATTATTTTAATACTATAGAAATAAAAAATAAATTTTAAACATTGTTCCATCAAAAAAAAATCCCTTTTTTTTTTATTAACTATATACAAACTAGAACACAAAATTGTTTTTATCAAAATTAAAACATGCAAATTTGTTTCCAATTTAGACTCGAGTTTGCAAAAATATATCGTGTCACTTTTCGGGCAACTGTCGCGCTCTACGCCGGCCTCGCCGTCGCCTCCTACGTTATCCGCGATTCGGGAATAATTTATCGTGGCACACGCACACGCAAGTAAGCACATCACGCCGCCGACGGTCGCCACTGCCGACGCCGTAGTAGTATCATTTGGTTTGTCGCTTGTACTAGTACGTTACTCCGCTGTCGCTGTCGTCGCTATTTTGCCGCCCGTCGTCGTCGTTGTCTGCGTAGCCGCCACCGTTAAAATTCTGTTAGAAGACACGTTCACTCTTGATTCCTTTCTCCCTTGACAATTGTATTAACCGAGTATAGGGCACGCGCCACCGCTATTTTAGCAAATATTGTTCCTCCCAACTCATAGCTATTCCTAAAAAACTCTTTGCCGCCAACTGATAGAATTTCTGTTAGAACGAACTGGTTTGAAAATATTTTGTCAAAACCTTAAAATAGTCATTACTTGTACGAAAAGTCAAGATCATCAATTTTTGGTAAGTAAATAAAAATTTTAGAATAAATTTTAACAAATCTACAAAAATTAATTTAGAATTGTAAAATTAACAGAGGATTTTAAACAATTTTATCAAGTTAACATTATAAATTAATTTACGAAATATTATGTTAACTAACAAACTTTTTTTTGTTACTCTCAGTATTCTTTATTATAAAGGTAAGATAAACATGGTTGAAATTTAAACTATTTAAAATCATCCAGAGTTTATTATTATTAAAAAAATATGAAATTGAGTTACACTCATCAATTGAAAAAAACAATTTAAAAGAAGAATGATAATTTTGTCACAACTAAAATTATTTTTTTTCACATTATATACAAATTTTTTACTTCTTGGAAGAGTACTTAGCCTCAAAATGCCGCCTATTATTACAGTAACAATTTTTCTAGTTGTTATTCAAAAGAAAACTGTGCTAAGAAATCGTAATCATTTCTACGATTGGTTTTCATTTTATGAAAAGTCGTAACCGTTTTATTTAAATGGAAACATGACAAAACATATTAAATATATGTATACAGGGTGATTTATTTATCATAACCCACTCAATTACTTACAGAATAATAATAATTTAAAAACAATTTTTTATTATTATCTTTAGTTACACATTATTCTTGAATTATTAACTATGTAATACTTTTTAAGTTCATCCCTTATGCCTGGTAAGGGTGTCAACTTTGTTTTTTTAAATGGTAACACATATTTTTAATTTAATAAAATGTTTGAGTTTTTAATTCAATAATAAATGGCATTTGAATTTTTAATAAAACTTAATTTGTTTATTAGATATAAACATTTAAAGTTTCAAAATTTTGAGTTAATATACATGTATAATACACATGGGATTGTAAATACAGGTAGCTAATTGGATTTTTATGACATTGCTATCTCAGTCACAGATTGTTTATTATCAATTATGATTATCAATAGATATACTTTCTGTATTGTCAGTTAGTGTATTTATAAAAATAATAATAAAAAAATTTAACTCAAAAATTTGAAACTTTAAATGTTTATATCTAATAAACAAATTAAGTTTTATTAAAAATTCAAATGCCATTTACTATTGAATTAAAAACTCAAACATTTTATTAAATTAAAAATATGTGTTACCATTTAAAAAAACAAAGTTGACACCCTTACCAGGCATAAGGGATGAACTTAAAAAGTATTACATAGTTAATAATTCAAGAATAATGTTTAACTAAAGATAGTAATAAAAAAAAAATGTTATAATATTATTATTCTGTAAGTAATTGAGTGGGTTATGATAAAAAAATCACACTGTATATATAACATATATTTACAAATTATCAGTTACTTTTCCAGCTTTAATTTATGGGTAATATTTAATACATAATTAAAAAAATGATTCTTTAATGCATTATTCATCTATACATTTTAATTTGGCATATAAAAAAAATAACATCAAATATACTATTTAGTTAATTACAAGAAAAATCTCGAGCGTGCTCTTGTCCTTTTAATTGAAAAAAATAGCACATGATTTGAATAATATTTTTCAAGTATTATAAATTGAACTATTAGATCCAAAAAGAAGGTCTTATCATTTTATTGATAAACAATTTTAATGAAAAAATGAATCAGTAGATTTTAAATATGTGTAAAATTAAAATTTTTTTATAATAGGACTTCCAATTTGTATCAGTGAAATAATTTGTCTCGATCTATCACAATGAAACGTCTTTGTGATAGATTAATTAAGAGTATTACTGGCTATGAAATACTATTGCTCAGATTCCATAATACTTTTTACAACTCATAATAAAAAAACCCAGTACAGGGGGTTCGCGGCACAGTGGTGACGTGCATAGTTGAGTCAAGTATAATGATATCTGCCAGTGATTAAAATCACTATCATGAAAAACGCTTCGATGTAAATCTTTAGATAGTGTTTAATTTTAAAAAATTGTTGGATTATTCCAAAAGCTACATGATCTGCTATTTCCTCATTTAAATCGTAATTAAGATAAAGTATGTCGAATGAAAGAGGAATATAAATATTATTTCTCATAAAAAATTGTGTTGATCCATACTCTTTTCAAAAAGTTATAGTATTATAAAGTTAAAAATGTAAAATATAAAATCGAGAACTTTCACACAAAAATAGTATTCGGCAACTATTTTCATCGTGAAGACAAAATAAAGTACGAATTTTTTTTTTATATATTAAAGTATATTAAATAAGCTTTAATTTAAGATATATATAAAAGTGTCAGAATTTACGGAATACTCTCAAAAGTTAATTTTTTGTGAAAAAGTAGTCATTTTGAATCCCTTCCTGTGGGCAGGTAAAGGTAAGATTTATAAAAAAAATATATCAAATAATAGCTAAAGACATTGTGAATCTATAAAAAAAAATTTGTATTGTTTTGGTCATTTTTGATAAAGTTATAACAGTTTTAAATAAAAAAAAATTGAAAAAATGTCGAAAATTAGAGATTTTTAAATTTGTATTTTTTTTTTGGAGATTTCCTCCATTTACTGGGAACGAGGGAAACTTTTTCAATTTTTGAGGGTAATGTTTTTGACTAGATACGATTTGTGATATTTTGACGCGTAATATTGAAAGAAATCGGTTCGGGGAGAGCTAAGAAAAAGTGGTAACAGACACAAAAAAAAACAAATCATAGTAAAACCAATACCTTCTCAGCTTCTCATTGAAGTTTAAAAAATAAACTAAACAAAAGATTTTATATAATTATTTTATATATTATAAACTTATATATTATTTTATATTCGTTTTATCTTACAAATTTTCCTTTTGAGTATTAATTATGTCAGTTACATCAATATTCAATAATTATGTTTTACTTAATCTATATTAATATTGTTTCTATACCTAGAAACCCTCCTTAACTTATAGATAAAAGATATAATGAAGTTATTAATTTTGAGTAATTGAGTATAAATGTAAATAAAAAGTAAATAATTATTTTAAATTCTTCCAGAAGTATAAACTAAGCATTTTCTTGGGATATTTCATAATGATTTTCATTGGAATGAATATAAGAATAAATAATTTAAATTTATACAAATTATACATACTTATAGTAAATATTCTATAATTTGGTAGCATAGTTTTTTAGTATTTATTTTTTTCAATTGTTTGGCACACAAGACTTAGAGTCTTAAAATACTCCAGAATTTTATATTTATCAAAATAATTTATTCCGATATCACTTAATCTTATTCTATATTTTAGAAGACTAATTTAAAAAAGTCATACTTTTATTTCAATTAATCAATTTTTTTTTTTCATTTAGTATAATCATATGTGATTGTCGCATATTTTTTTTTGACTCTGTTGTTATAGTTGACAATGTGATAACTCGTTTCAATTAAATGAACGCATAAGAATGATTTTATTAATATTTTTAAGTGCACTCATTCAGATAGTTTATAAAAAGAGTATAAATTATAATTTGTCTTTCCCTTGTCTATTTAGGACATTTGTATTTATAATAACATTAGTAGTACGTTTTGAATTTTATGGCGCCACCCTCTGAATTATGGTAATAATTTATAGGCATGATTTGCTGTTTTAATTTACCAATTTTGAATAAGGGTTGGATTGTAACTGTTAAAATATTTAATTTTAAAAAGATTCTTTAGTTTTCATCTTCTTTTCTAAACATAGCTTAACTCCCAATCGGTTTTTTAGCAATGGCGACAAACAACAACATTAATTTACTGACACAGAACACTAAAGCTCTACAGCTAGGGAAGAAAACCCTCGTCATGACAATTAATTTTCTACCTACTCTTAGCATTCCCGAGCGTTATCAGCTATTGGTGGCACTATTATAATTTGATACCTACGTGTGTTTGTCCGCTTCCTGTACACTGTTTAAACCAGAAAACAAGAAAATGGAATCTCGGTACTCAAGTGAAATACTGTTGTGATATCTTATCTCGCTCCTCTACTATGCAATAATATTGTTTTGTTTCAATTCACGAACACACTTATCATGGAATCCGACCTAGCTCTATATTTATTGTTTGATAATACGATCAAATATTTATGTCCTATTTAATACAATGAAAATTAAACGGACTATATTAACATATTTAATAATATTGTTTCGTGTTAATCTTTATTCAAAATGTCTACCTTTCTTGTTCTAAGAAATTGTATTAAAATCGCTTTATGTGATCGACTAGTCCTATTTACATTAAATGACCCGCACAAACAAAAGATTATCTATTTAGTAAAGATCTTCTAGTTACAATAGGACTTGTTCATGGCTTTAAATGGAGTTATCTAGAATCCCTGTCACACCTATAACCTAAGATAAATTTAAACTAAATCAAAGTTTTTCCTTTATGGACTAAATTTCTTATTTATTTTTACTATGATTTTTTTTTTGTAATAAATATTGATTCTTAAAATTATGAAATTTTAGTAGCACCTGATACTATTTAAAAAATGCAATACTACTTAGGCTCATCACAAGATTTTTTAGTCAAACGTAATATAACCAATTATTAATGTACGTCTGACTAAAATTTAAAGTGAAGCAGAACTATATGCTTGATTAATTAGTTTATAATATTTTATAAAAAAAATATATTTATATATATTCTAGAAGAAACAAATTTATAGGGGAATGCTCGATGGGGATAGCTTCCTCCAATCCAAAACTCATGCAATCACCGAAAATGTTACTTTCAGAAGGACCGAGCAGAAAAAGTCACTAAAAATAATATTATTATTTTTGGTTTAATTTTCTTTAGCCCCTATTCCCGAATTTTTTCCTAAATGCACGCTTGTATAATTCTTAACTGGGACTATACAATTGCATAGTGGTTAGTAGTAAAACTAATAAAATTTAGTCAATGACGAAGTTGTCTGGGGATTTTTTTTTTTTGCATTCACAGTGTATTAGATAGTTCTTTGTAAGGTTCAATGAAAAGAGTAGTGAGTAAATAATTTCCCAAGAGTTTCTTTTTACTAA